TAATGATAACTCGACATACTGGAATAATGAAAACAAATTGTGGATTACCTTCCTGACAGGACTTGTATATGCAAAGCGCACAGGACCGATGATGTCATTGTAGAAGTCATTGCATTGCAGCCATATTTTCTTCAGGAAAAGTGTCATTTCAGCTGAAGGAAAGACAAAATAATGTCCGTTTTTTACTACCTAATAAATTGTTAATGTACTAAAGATAGAAATAAACTAAAATCTTTAACCAAAGTACAAACAGGGGAAAAGACAACATCTTATTAATCAATCAATGCATCCTTGTTACTATCTTATTAAAGGAGAACTATGAGGCGGGTGCAAATCACTCAGCCTCATAGTTCTAGCCGACGTGTGACAATGAGACTGTTACGGCTCCGCTCAATAGATCGGGAAGTGAGAGAACGCATACCGTCGCTCGCTCACTTCTCGATCCTGTCCCTGCAGAGAGCCGTGACTGTCACTCACGGCTCCCTGGAGGGATTCCCTCCTCCCCTGTCCGATCCTCCAGCGCTGACTGGCCGAATGGACAGGGGAGGGGGCGGGTACAGCTGTCTCTGCATCTGGATAGGCAGAGCCCGCTGTCAATCACTCAGCTGGGTGGATCTCGACAGTAATGTCAGGATCCGTCCCGGCTGCGGCGGCCTCAGTATACCGCGAGCTGTAGCTTGTGGTATACTGAGCTTAGGGTGACGGGAGGACGCTAGTTTGTGTCCTCCCGTGACCCTTAGGAGAACTATGGGGAAAAGCCCTGCCTCCATAGTTCTCCTTTAATCAAGCTAATGTGCTTTGGTTAGGCAGCTCGCAAATACCAGAAGACGCAACAAAATAATGGGAAAAACCCAACTCTACGGGAAGAAGAAGGAGAACCACATCAATGGTCAAAGAGTCAAAAGCCATGTTTTATGAAATGATCAATTAAACACTAAACTCCGGAGTTAAATCTTAAAAATGCATATAATGTACCTTAACTATTAACAACAACGGGGGGAACTTATCAAAGCTGGAGCAGATGTGCATGGCAACCAATCAGCTTCTCTCTTTCATTTAGCGACATCTAGTGGTAGAAAGGAATACTACAGGGGGCAGCTCTAGATTGAAGGTTAGTATTGCAATGTAAGTATTGTTTTTTTTTTTATTTCTACATACTGTATCCTTGGTTATTCTTTTTTTTTCCCTTATTCTTCAGCTTTACGATAAACACAGCAATAATAATTCCAAATAAGTGTTAACTAAAAATTTAGTGTACTGTCTCTTTAAACTACCAGTGAACTCACCTGCAGAGGGCAGCACAGGATAGGTTGAGGCTCTTTGTACAATGTTATCACAGTGTTCCTCTGCAGACTGGACGCCGCTGCTCCTGGGCTGACCTGCTCCTTGCAGGACTGTACAGTATCCGCTGGCTGATTGTTCTCCAGATCCGCATTGTCCAGAGACTTCCTCTATGACATAGAAAAAGATGAGTTTTTATTAACCCTTAAGACCAAAAGCAGTAGCAAAAACAATCTAAGACAAAATTTGTCTGGCCTCTATTCACTGCACAAAAACTGGAAGTAAAACCTTACTTCCATTGGCTATTATGCATGAATGAATATATATGTATATATATATATATATATAAAATATTACTATTATTATTATATCAGCAAATAAACTTTTATTCTTTTCCACAAACAATCAAATAAAAACGGCTTATATTCAGCAGAATGACAAAATCAACAGGGCTTATAGTCAGCAAATACTAGATTTGGCTCAGCACCTGTATTCCAAGTCCCACCTCAGGGTTAGAGTCCCAGCCTGCTCACAGAGGGCTCCAGTATGGACACAGGTGCCCCAGCACCGTCTCGGTAGATGGTATTCCACAGCTTAACACGCACAGCCATGTGTCCTGCTCCAAACACTCCTCACAGACACAGACTGACTGGCTTTCTGTGCCCTTTTAACACACAACCTGGCTGGTGGGTTAACCCTTTTATTACCAGAACTGGCTGTAGTCAGAGATGGAGGCTCTGTCCCACCCAAAAATCTCTCTGAGCCTTCATATTCCGGGACCCATGTATAATTAATAACTCTGGGAAGACTGCCTAGCAGTTTCCCTTACAAGTCCGACCCGGAACCCCTCACCCTGCTTGGCGAGAACCCTAAATACAAGGTGACCTTAACGGTACCACCACATAAACAAGGGAGGGATATACCGTCCATCCAGGACCCATTCCTGGCGTGCTGTACAATATATAATTTAGTACTTCTTTCAGACACACACATACAGTATATATTAAAAGACAGCGGGTTAACATAATGAATGGTATTATAACCAGGCTGAATATCAGGGCTATTGTTGTTGTTGAAGATCATATTAATTTAAAACTGTTTTCAGAGAGGCTCCTATTTGTCAGCTTCAAAGAGACTTCAGCTGCCATCCAATCACTGTTGTGAGAAAGATGTGATTGTGTTCTTTGGACCAATCATGGATTCCGTATGTGAGTGAATAGGGGAAATTACAATAAAAGATGGATGGGTAGAAGCCACGATAGGACTTCACAGAGAATTTTGACCAAGAGGAGGACACTAAGTCACACTTTGAGAGCGGCTGCAACCAGAAGCCATTTTCCTGAGAACGCTCAACTGCAATGCAACTGTTCCTGTTCAATAGGGAATTGGTAGACCAACATTATCCAACCTAAGTGACTTTAGTGTATCCTGTAGGGATGCATCGATACTAGTATCGGTGTCGATAACGAGTATTTGGGCGATTACTTGCCCAAATGCTCCAATACTTACCTCTGATACCGGAACGTACTGTCAGAGGGAGATCTCCCTCTAACCGGCAGTGCCGAGGGAGCATGGAGCTGGCTTCCTTTCCAATCAGAAAGCCGGGCGGCTAGTTATGACCCTCCTCCCAACTTCCTGATTGGCTAGGCAGCCTGGCTTTCTAATCAATCAGGAAGCCAGGCGGCACCTCATGACCCGCCGCCTGGCTTCCGGATTGGTCAGGAAGCCAGGCAGCCTCGGAAAGTGAACCCAGGGTTCTTTCAAAAGAACACCGGCTTCCCAGGCAATCAGAAAGTCGGGAGGTGGGCCATGATCCGTCGCCCGGCTTCCTGATAATCGGGGCATGCAGCACCGTTATCGATGTCGGCGACAACCGGGGAAAAAAATATCGGTACTCAATACCGAAAAAACGGTATTGGTGCATCCCTAGTATCCTGTCATAGAAACCATTGCATGTACAAGAAAGGATAGATTGGTGGGCGCATGTGTGTGTATGTAAATGTATTAGCAGTTTATGCACGTAGAATTTTCGTATAGTAAAGTACGTTACATGCTACCGGGGTCAGTTTCCTTGTCTTTATTATGAGAAGTTTGTGTAGCAAATCATCTGGGGGTCTATGGCAGCAACTTTAACTTTAATGAAAACGTACTGATAGTAATATGAAGACTGCCATTGCTGACCTACTTTGAAACCTTGTTTCCCCAATTGCCCCTGTCTTCACTACATTCAATGACCTGGAACAAGTATGCAGATACGAGAGAAGAAAAATAAAAACTCCTGATCTGCATGCTTGTTCCGGGTCACATTGAAAGTATTGATGCCACTGGATCACCCTTACAGCCGGGTAAGTGGTATTTTCAGAAGGAGACATCAGGACTGGCAGCCGGCATATTGTCCAACTACAGGTTTTCTTTAGGACAAGCCAGAAAGTGGAGATACTGTATCTAATTAAAAGGTTGAGGGCTCCTTCACACCAATGTGTTCCATTGACACAATGGTAAGATGTGCGATTTACCATGCGTTACTGCAACACATGAACCGTGCAGTGCAGAGCTATGGCCAACTACTACTGCAGTATTGGCCACCATACATCTACTGCAGCTCACCACATTGCATATGAGCTAAAGATGAACTCCGTCCTTCCCTTCAGTCTTCTATCTGACCTCCGTCCTCCCCTTCAGTCTTCTATCTGACCTCCAGCCTTCCCTTCAGTCTTCTATCTGACCTTCGGCCTTCCCTTCAGTCTTCTATCTGACCTCCGTCCTCCCCTTCAGTCTTCTATCTGACCTCCGGCCTTCCCTTTAGTCTTCTATCTGACCTCCGTCCTTCCCTTTAGTCTTCTATCTGACCTCCGTCCTTCCCTTCAGTCTTGCACAGTTGCTCATCTACTGGACTGAAATGGCTTACCCTGATTTCACCCTGCTTTAGAAATAATAGTCAATTTTTATGACCTGAACAAAATGGATGAGGGAAGACACACGTGACCAAGCTGCTAAACCAAGACACAAGGGGCTAGATGATCAAACATGTCAATTCCCTTAATGTCACCAATGACAGTCACAAAATTCTCATTGTTCCAGCACTACACCTGCTACACAAACGTTATGAGGTATATCTGAAAAATGAACAGGGTTACTTTAAGGTGTCTGTTTTTAAGCAATTGGCCCTGCGAATATCTGTGAATGTTCGTTTTGGGTGAATAATATATTTTTTCTAAGTTCGAACGTAGTGTCTTGTAATAATACATTATGGCCAATACATGAAGCTGAGTCATATAGGAAACAAGTATTTATTTCCTTTGCTCCTCAGCTCCATCTAGTGGCAATACTGTATTATTACAGCACACTACATTTGAACTTGGAAAAAAAAAATTAAGAACTTTCATTTTTGCCATTATTTCCCGAAAATGAACATTTACAGATATCCCCAGGGGCGAAAGGCCCTGACAATTGTGTATAAATAGACCCCTTAGTGTTTGCTTTCACCTTGCTTAAAGGGGATGCTGAATTAAAATAAGCTCTTGGGGTATGTGTTTCCATATTACCATCAATGGACCTGCCTTGTTTTATCTCCTGCATGTCATCTGGGCTGGCTGATCCCGTGGCAAGGTTAACCTTCTCAACCGAAGATAAGTCAATATGTGCCCCTGTATTAAGTTCCTTATTGGTTTCTAACATGATTTCCTGCCTTGAGTCCAGATTGGGATCAAATTTTTCTATTACTTCTGATACCGGACTATCTATTTGTTGATGAACATTGGAAGTAACATCATCCTCTAAATGTATCATGTTTCTGATTGTAGAAGAATCTTCTACGGGGATTGCTGGGTCATTATTGAGCTGTGTTACAATGTTGTCTTTGAGTGTTCTTTCAGATTCATTGGCAATCTCATTATCTGACAATTCGTCTGAATTAATATCTTGGTCATGTTCATCGGTGTTTGTTGTCACAATACCTTCTCTTGAAGGCTCAGTTTCACCAGAAATGGGACTATGGTTATTATTCGGTGTGTATAGAGTTGTGTCTGATAAGCCATTATCATGATTTATTTCCCCAAATTTTGCTTGTTCTGTCTCCCCCTGGTCTCTGTCGCTCTTCCCTAAATCCGTAACGTTTGACACAACGGATTTAAACCAGTGGGTTGGTTCATGATTGGTTTTCAAAGGCTTGGGAACCTCTGGATTCTCTTGGAACTTTATATTATTTTCTTTGTCTGGTATTCTATTTAATTCCTGTTGGTCCAGAGCTTCAAAAACAACATCAGTATTGCCCACTTTGGACCCATCAGACTCACTTTTATCATTGTATACTGTAGTATGTTCTATGTTAATATCCAACTTTAATTCCGTGTCATGCTTTGTCTCTTCCATTGTTGGTGGGTCCTCTACTGAGGTATCTGTTTTATGTTCAGCATCACCTTCTGTGGAGTTACCTTGACTGAGATCCATTTGTCTTGGTATCTCACTGCTTTCAGTTTCATCCACACTCTGGGACGGGTCCTCTGACTCCCCTTTCTTTTTTTCATTTTTGGCCCCAAAACTTAAAACATCTTTGATGGCAAAGTTGAACCATTTGGCTTTTGCCTCCTCAATGTTTTTGGTTTCTCTGTTGTCTTGCTCAACATCTTGAGGATTTGAGGAAGTATTTTCTTTTTCTGTTTCAACCACAGACTCTTCACTCGCAGATTGGCTTGTGTCGATTGATGCTTCTGTGTCATCCTGCTTGTCCTTCCCTCCAAAGGGCAGAAGACCTTTGAGACGGCCACCAAACCAGCCAGCATTTTCTGGCTGAGAGTCCTCAGCCTCTTTGGGTTGTTCCCCATTATTTTCTAGCATTGGTTCTGCAGGACCCTCTTCTTCTATATGTTCTGCATTATCTGTGTTGTCTTGTTTATCCTGGGTTCCTCCCATACCAAACCAACCTGCAATGCCAGATGGAGCCCAAGGTGGTTTGTCTGTGACTTCTTGAGCTGGCTCTTTAAGGTTGATGTCTTCTTGTAAATCCTCAGTAGAGATTCCACCTGAAAAATAAAAATTAGATATTTAATGTTATGTACTGTAACATACTAAAGTAAAATTCAAAGCACATGTTTTTTTGGACAGAACATGAGAGAGTTAAATCTCTTTCTTTGTTGCTGTCTGCATTGTTCCTATTGAGGCTTCTGTTCACTGCACTTCCTGTCCTGGTCACCGAACCAGGAAATGAGGCAATAAGAATTTTTTTTGATAGACATTGAAATAGTTACAAGTTATAACTCTTTCCATGTCTGTTAACTTACAACCTCTGTCAGATGTTATTTCTTTACATTATTTATTTGGGAGATTTTCAGTCTACTAGAGCCCTTCCACAATGGCTTTCCGATCAGGTTCGTCTCTCATTTTTTCAGAAGGACCTGGTCGGACCCCAATGTTAGTCTATAGGCAACCAGATCTAAATGGATCAGCATCAGTTTACATCCCATTACCCTCGACTCAGGCCGGGTCTGCAAAAACAAACAAATCAGAGTTCTGTTTTGTTGGACCTGATTGTGCTGGATCGGGATTTATGAGTCCACCACAAGGTGGAGGAAAAAACTGGACAGACACGGATGCCAACAAGGAATCCTTGCACTGATCCCCTCCTGATCGGACCATGTGAAAGGGGCCTTACTCTCCTGGTTAAAGGTGGTCCAGGACAGGAAGTAATGGGGAAATTTCTTCTAGATATAAAACAAGTTTATATTACCAAGACATTCTAGTGAAAATGTATGTGCAGATTGAAATATTACCATTTTGGGGAAATGCATTGGAGTCAATAGGAAAAGCCAAACATAAAGTGATTTTTGGTGATTATTAAAACCCAACTCCAGATATGATCACTTATTTAGATTAAAGGAGAACTATGGGGTCAGGGCTTTTCCCCATAGTTCTCCTACGGGTCACAGGAGAACACAAACTAGTGTTCTCCCGTGACCCAAAGCTCAGTATACCGTGAGCTGTATACTGAGACGCCGCAGCCGAAACGGGGAGGGGGGAATCCCTGCTGGGAGCCGTGAGTGACAGTCACGGCTCTCTGCAGGGATAGATCGAGAAGTGAGCGAGCGACGGTATGTGTTCGCTCACTTCCAGATCTACTGAGCCGACGTGTGACAGTTTCTTTGTCACAGGTTGGCTCAGATTATGAGGCTGATTAAAAAACCCTCGCCTCGTAATTTTCCTTTAAAGTTCAACTGGACTTTGTTTTAAAGTGCACTTATCCTTTAGGACCCTTTAAAATGACATGGTGGGTCTCTCCCTCCCTGTGCATGGATGAAAATCTACCAGGTTCCTGCAGGCGTGGCCACGTTTGCTTGTTGACTTTCTACGGCAGACATCTTCTTCCTCTGGCCATGCCTGCACAGTAAATCATTGATTTCTATGGGGCTTGTCTAATGTCTATCTCTGTCTCCCAGCTGGGAGGTGAGCCTTGTAGAAGTCAATGGGGGTTTAGTGCACTGGTGTGGCCAGGAGAAGGAGACATCCAGCGCTGGACATCTACAAGCAACTGAGGCTGAGCCAGTTGGAACTTATTATCTATGCACTAGGGGGAGCCGTGAACTCATGATTGGATAGAGGAGGTCCTAGAGTGTGCATCCAGCGCCTGTGCAGTGGGTGGAGTTGGGAATCCCTGTCTTGTGCATTTGTAGACTCTGGAACTGGAATCTCAGTGACACCACCAGATGCTGCAAAGTGAAGTAGCAATGTGGAGACGAAGAACAAGGCGCCAGGGCTGGAGTCTGACTTTGATCATCAGCTGTACCTCCTGTTGACTTCTTCTCTCTGCTCTCACCTCCTGTATGTTCCATAAAGTCTTCTTCATGTTCTCTAGACGAATGCAGAACGCTGTCTTCATTCTCGAAGAAATATTCACCTCCATCCAGACACACAAAATCGATTTCCTACAATGTCAATGAAACATAAACAAATACATTATTTTATAAGCTGAACTCTTGTGATCAATGGCTATGCTGATGACCTTTCTTTCCTCCTCTGCATGGTCACAACACAGCGTGGTCACAAGCCTGCCCCTAGCTTGTAAACGGGCAATGAAGTGGCAGAGGATTACTGGTGAGGTCAACTTTCTGCTCTCCACTCCAGTAATAATCTTCAGGAAGGGAAGCTTACAGCACTTTGCAAAGCAGTAGAGCTCTGGGAGGGTATGTATAGAGCAGAGCAATAAGTGGACTTAAAACCCAATTAGACTTCCAGTTTAAATCAGCTCAACATATTCCAGGTGCATCAAATCAAAAGGTATGCAAAGTCTTACAGCTCATGTTCTTTGGAATGCAGAATTTGAGTGAAAAGCCTGTTTTCTTCCAACATGCTGCAGATAAGGACCCCTGTTTTCTGTGTGGAAGCAGTGATCTCTCTGCAGGGGTCCACCATGTCCTCTGCTGAGTCAAAGCAAGAGTTATCCAATCAGCAGGGGTGCTTGAACCGTGAACCTTTCTGATTGCAGTGCTATAGGTCTGACACAGCAGGGGGCATTCTGAAACTCTGCAGAGAGGCCACTGCTTCTACACATACAGCAAGGGTCCTTCTCTGCAGCATGCTGGCAAGAGACATACACTTCTGCTCAGTCTGTGGCTGCTTTCTATAGAAAATGATCTGTAAGACTTTGTAGCGCCATTGTGGTTTTGATGCATCTGGAATGTGTTTAGCTGATTGAAACTGAAAGTTTAGTTGGGTTCCAGCTAAAGAATGGTGTCTCGGATTGTAGTGATTCATTTTCTATTAACAAAGAGCAGATACAAGAGGCAGGAGTAGTCTATATCACTTTCTTGTATTTATTATTACCCCGGAAAATAAATGTCATAGTTGCATAGGAGTCTGTTTATAAACAATTTACATGGCCCTTCACCCTGCAAATATCTGTGGACCTTTAAAGGAGAACTATGGGGTCAGGGCTTTTCCCCATAGTTCTCCTTAGGGTAACGGGAGGACACAAACTAGCGTCCTCCCGACACCCTAAGCTCAGCTACAGCTCGCGGTATACTGAGACGTCGCAGCCGGAGCGGATCCCGACATCGATGTCGAGATCCGCCCAGCTGCGTGAGTGACAGCTGGCTCTGCCTACCTAGAGGCAGAGCCAGCTGTACCCGCCCCCTCCCCCGTCCGCTCCGCCAGTCAGTGCTGCAGGATCAGAGAGAGCTGTGACAGGATCGAGAGGTGAGCGAACGCCGGTATCTGTTCGCTCAACTCCCGATCTACTGAGCCGACCTGTGACAGTCTCATTGTCACAGGTCGGCTAGAACTATGAGGTGAGTGAAAAGCACTCACTTCATAGTTCTCCTTTAATTTGTGCAAATAATGCCAACAACGAATGTTCTTAATATATTTATTCCCAGTTCAAATGTAGTGTGTTGTAATAATACATCATGGACACTAGATGGAGCTGAGGAGCATAAGAAATAAATATTTATGTCCTGTGCTCCTCAGCTCCATCTAGTGTCCATGATGTATTATTACAACACACTACATTTGAACTGAGAAGAAAATGAAGATCATTCGTTTTTGGGATTATTCACCCAAATTGAATGTTCACAGATATTCGCAGGGTGAGGGGCCATGCAAATTGTTTATAAACAGACCCCATAGTGTTTCCATTTCTCTACAAGAAGTAGCTTTTTTGCTTCACGTGTGTCATATTGCACTGATACAAAACAGGAAGAAGACAGATTGGTGGTGTACGGGCGATCTAATAAAGATTATTCTGTGACTGATTATTGGTTTTTGCTTTTTTACAGGACTATTGATTTCCTGTCTGTTTTTTAATACTTTACCTTTGCTGGAACCTCCACTTCCTCCGACAGATAGACTTCTTCTACGTTGACAATGTCTCTGGGAAAGAAGCCGTATGCTTTCCCTGTCTGGAAGAGATCAAATATTTTTATAGAGTTGCAGCCAAAAAGAGATACATCCTAAAGAACATGTGTGAGAATTTAAATATAAAATAAAATACTAATAATAATAATCATCATCATTCTATATATAAA